GTGGCACAAAATGTTTCTTACTGGTAGACCCAAGTCTCTTTGGTTCCTCTGTAAAAGGAAGCCCAAAGTGGATAAACCTGTGTTCAATGATTGGCCTTTTGCGATGAATCTTGCAATGAAACTGTTTTGGAATTTTGAAGCATCTTGGAGACTTCTGCCTGCCAGTTAATAGGTACCCCATTTGGTTTGTTTGATTTAGGAGCCCTTGCTTTCAAGTGCACTGCTTAAATGATCTTCTCTAACTAGAACGTTCCTCATAATGGCCATTGTAATTCTAGGTTGTTTTAATAAGATTTTGCCACGTTTGTAAATATTTAAAGGTTCTGAGACTGTAGTTCTTCGACATAAAATAAGCAGGTGTATCAGTAGGTGATGTGCTCAACTCTTTGGGATGATGATGATGATGATGATGATTATAATTACTGTTTGAGCTAAGCCTTTGGGTCTTTGGGAGCCAAACTAATATCTAAAAGGGATAGGCCACTGGGTTGGGAGTTGTATGATGTTTTACAGTGTACCTGATTGCATGGAAATTTTCTTGAGGTTGGCAGGTGACCTAGTATCGCTCTAACCTAACCTAATTCACCCCAACACAGGGGTCTTAGAGTTAGGTGGGTCTAAACAGGGACTTGGGTCACCAGCACAGGGCCAGCTTGAGACACAGGACAGTAAGTGTCTCATCTCTGGCCTGTAGTAGGCCTTCTTGACCTCTCTTCTGCAGAATCACTGAAGCAGGGTCTCCTCTGGGGTTCTGGTTATTCTCTGGAGTCATGTGTGGGTATTGCTTTGGACCAGAAGTTGGCTGTGTGCTTTCCAGAGCAATGGAGTCCATCCCTTTGGGAGACTCATTTGTTGGCCTTGCTAGCCTCCCCTCTCTTTTATCTTTCCAGAGTACAGGGCCTTGTGGAGAGCAGGCCAAGAGATCATCCCCAAGGAGGGCTCGCCTTCTTCTCAAAATTGTCCAAATGTGGTGTTGATGTGTCCTTGAGTATGGTAGCCAGAAAAATGGTCCCCAAAGATCCCACCTCCTAAACCCAACGACTTTACATTAGTAAACAGTAATTTACATTAGTGTACCTGGCATAGGGGGGCTAAGGCTGTTAACAGCTGACCTTGAGGTGGGGAGATGACCCAGGAGGGTGTGAGTAGACCCCGTGTTATCACAGGGTCCTCAGATGCAGAAGAACCCACATTAGAGCGATGTGCTGGCTTTAAAGATGGAGGGAAGGGGCCACGTGCCAAGGGGTGCGCATGGCCTCCAGAAGCTGGAAATGGCAGGAAAACAGATTCTCCCCCAGAGCTTCAGAAGGGAACACAGCCCTGCCCGCAGTGCGACCTTAGCCCAGTGAGACCCACTGCATGCAGACTCTTGACTTCCAGAACTATAAGATAATAAATGTATGTCGTTAAAATCCACTAAATTTGTAGGAATTTGTTCCAGCAGCCTTAGCAAAGTAACGGAAGGAGGGCTTGCCTGCTAACAGACTCATGTTCTTAGCCAGCTTCATGTTCTTAGCCAGCTCCCACCCCTGGGAAGCCATGGGTCTACCTGGAGGCTCAGCCCATTGCCAGCTCATGTGGATGCTTTGTCCCTGGAGGGACTTGCTCATCGCTGGTGGCCCAAAGCTTCGGTTTTCATGGCCACACATACAGAAGGGGACAAGACACAAAGACCAGGGCCAAGTTGGGCAGGAGACTGGATCAGACACCCACCACCACCATCACCACCTTTTTAAAACCAAGGACCCCAAACTGGGAAAAGCCTGGTTTCCATCATGTCTCAACCCTGGTTCTGGGGGGGGAGCGAAAATACGCCTCCCTAGAGAATGCCTAACCACAGCCACCTCTCCCTGCATCTCACGCCAGGCTATGACTGGCCTCACCAGCCTTCACCTCACCCCTGGGCCTTCACCCACCCCACCTGAGGCTCTTGCCTTTGCCCACTCTCCGCCCCACCCCACCATACCTCCTCCATCTTTTATGAATCAAATTTTTCAGACTTCAAGGTCTAGAAATAGCTGTCGGCATCCTATATCGGCTTTCTAATGTGTCCTCCTTCGGGGGCTGAGTTGAGGGAAAGCATCCCTTACTGCCCTTCCTGGGGCCCTTCAGGAGCCCTTGAGGAGTTGGGTGGGGAGGCCTGGAGGTCCCCATGGGCCTCCCTTTAGGATGAGGAGACACCCCAGACCCACAGTTCTGGCTGCCCTTCCCAAGATACAAAGCTGTGCCTTGGGCCAGCCAGTGTCACATACGTGGGGACTCATCCCGGCTTTGCGGTAGCTTGACTGGCGGAAGCCTTCTTAAAGTGCTGCCGGCTGCTTCCTGCCCTCCGGCTTCACTTTTCCCCGTGCTGGCGGCACCCACTCTGGCTTCCCAGGAAAGTACAGAAAGTCAGCAACAGCCAGCAGAGGAAGCGTCTTGGGGGAGCAGCCCGGGCTTGGCAAGGGGTGGCCGCTGGATCCCACACCCCCCTCTGCACCCGGGATAGCGTGGGGCTGACCCAGCACGGCGCCCCTTTTTCTTCCTGCCTCAGCTGCCGACGATGAGACTAAATTTACAACCTTAGCAACTGATTCCCTCCAGCTGCCTACCGACGGCTGTCCCAGTCCTTCAGCTGCTCTTGGGCCTGCTTTTATTTTTCGTCTGCTCTGGGCCTCTTTCGCTGCACAGACGACCTCAACTCCTTTTGTTCTGTCTTGTCTTGTGTTTGATGTCCTCGGGGCATAAATCCTAAACAAATCCTACGAATCCTAAACAATCAAAAAGTTGCCCCGAAGTAACCAAGTCAAGCCAAATGCGGTAAAAAGCCCATGACCCACCATGGATAAGGCCACAGAGTGACTCTGGACGTGAACTTGGAAACCGAATGAAGTGCAGAAGCTCCGGAGAAATTACGCCAGGCAAGGAGAAAATCCTCAACAGCTAGATCCCGTCCGTGTTCCCTGAGCCACCCACCTTTGGGGAGGCGCGCTGTGCGCCACTCGGCTAGATGCCCGTATGAGAGCCTCCCCAGGCGGGGCTGCACGGCCTCGCTGGCTGCTACTCAGACAGCTTCTCCACCAGGCTAAGAAATCTTTTTCCTAGTCCAAGAGACTAGAAATATGTCAAATACACCTCATTCCTGGCAGCGTTGTGGAGGTTTTATGCCCAAGGGCTTGGACAACTAGAAAGAGAAGAGTAAACTTTTCAGTAATAATGACAAGATTATCAGAAAAACTTGGAGTGGCACATCCAGCATTCTGCCACTGAGGAGGAGATTTCCTGCCATTGGCCTTGAACCGGGAATCACCCCTGCCTGTGTTGCCACGCCAGTCACATTGCCACCTTGCCTGGCGGGGGCCGTTCTGGATTCGTTTTGGAGCAGAGGGAGGGAGGCAGCCCCGTGAGCACAGACAGGCCTGGCCAGGCACCGTGCGAATTAGATGGAGTGAGCTTCCAAGCGCCCCTGGAGAAGCAGGGCAGGCAGCCACCAGCACTACCCTGGGCAGAAGTAACTGCTGTTAGAAACACCCTAATTTGTCCTGCGGCAGAATCGCTGAAGGCTGCCAAACCCATTCCTCAGCCAGCTAGATTGATCTAGAAGTCCCGGGCAGGCTCACTTCCTATTTCTCTTCTTCAGTCCTTTCTTAGCAACTAGCCGACATGGGGCGCCTGGGTGGCTCAGTCCGCTAACTGTCTTTCTTCGGCTCGGGTCATGATCCCAGGGTCCTGGGATCGAGTCCCGCATAGGGCTCCCTGCTCCGCAGGGTGTCTGCTTCTCCCTCTCCCTCTGCCTGTCCCACTGCCCCTGCTTGTGGTCATGCTCTCTCCCTGTCAAATAAATAAAAATCTTAAAAAGAAGAAGACACACGACATAGCCCTGCTCAGCCAGGCTCTCCTCGTTCGTCTTTTCTCTTGGTGCAGTGTGAGCCTGATGGAAAGAGCAGCGCACGACTTCTGGGCCGTGTGCCCAGTGCTGCCATCCCCCAGCCCTCCTAGAGTTTCATCCCCGTCATAACTGTAAAGGCAGGCCGAGCCCGGTAATAAAACGCATGCGAATGAGTCCTGTGTGCAGGGCACTCCTGCGGAGGCTGATCCCTGCGAGGTCCCTGAGAAGGTGACTAGGTGACTGTGTCCCTATTTTGGGGGGGATGGAAGAAGCTTGTTGGGCAGAGGTCGCTTGCCCCCGCTCTCCCGCCCACTGCACCACGGTGCCCTCTTGGGCAGTGGTCACCAGCGTGTCCCAGTCTCACCGCCTGGGTGGGAAATCGTGTGTTACCATCCAGTGGTATTGGTTTTCCCATCCGGGAATGACACGCAAAGAGTGGAAGCTTGCCCCCTTTTCTCCTTGGCCCCCTTCCTGCAGTGGGCTCCGCACCCCCTTTCCCCCAGCGGGCCCGGCCACGCTCCCGCCTCTGGCCCCCGGGTCAGCCTGGCTGGCTGGCTGCAAGGGCCAGTGTCGGCGTCAGAGAACTTGGTCAGGTGAAGGGTTAAATATGTTGAAATAAGCCTGGCCGTCACAAAAGAGGCGGCATTTACACCCCGTACATTTATGGAAATACTTGCTGAAGGAAAACAACCACAACATTGTGCACGTCTTTAGGAAGAGAATGGCCAAAGTGTCTTTAATTCACTGTTTACCCGTGAGAATTACTCCCAGGAGTAATCCTGCAATAAAATCTTCTTGGTCTATGAGAATAGAAAGAAATTGAATCAAAAGACTCTATTTCCACTTGTATTTATTCAGTCTGGGAAATTCAGTGGGCCGGAGCATTAGTATCAGCAGGGGATTCCTTGCTCCTAGCGTTAAATTACTGTCATAATCGCTCAATTATTTCTTCCTTGTACTGTTTAAAATAAAAATCCATCACATTCTATGTTTTTTTTCTAGCATTTATTAGGTTGAGTGTTTAGGAAAATCAATTATAGTCAGTCAGGCATGAATTGATGAATGTTCTTGTAATAATTGTCAGTTGTTAAACTGAATGTACTTTCTCTCTCACACTTTTCATTTCCTTCAGAGGGCAGAGGTGGCTCAGAGAGAGGCGGAGACTTTGAGGGAGCAGCTTTCGTCGGCCAACCACTCTCTCCAGCTGGCCTCGCAGATCCAGAAGGCGCCGGACGTGGTGGGTAGCCCGGCCCTGTGGGGACTCTGTCTGGGGATGGGACCTGTAACAGTCAGAGGAAGAGTTTTGCCAATGGGGCATCGATGCTAAGTGGTCGGCGTGTCACCCGCCCGACGTGGAGGCTGAGGCAGGGGATCACCTCATGAAAGAGAGGGCCCTCCCGGCTAGGCCCGTGGGGAGACGGCTGGCAGAGGGTGGGCGTGTGAGGCGGGAGCCTTACCAAAATTACACCGGAAAATTGGAGGTTTGGTCTCCACCTCGATATGTCCTTCCAACGTGAGAAAGCAGTTGGTGATGAGCGGGGCAGGCCAAAGATGGAATAAAGCAATAACCGGCTCCAAGCCTAGATGGTAGCAGACTCATTGCAAGTGCCAGCATTCGGAAGGAGGCACACATCTTATTCCTTTGTATGCCTCTTGATTTTTCTTAAGATGAATAAAAATTGCTCTTAGACGGAACTTTCCCAGCTCAATCGAGGCAGCTTTGACTTGGAGATTCCAGGCTCCCGCCTTGAGCGCCATGCAGTGACACAGGGCAGTGCGGAGTTAAAACCTGGATATTAGAGCCGCGCCCCTGGGGTCAGACCCCAGCGCCGCATGACTTGGGGCGGGTAGCTTGACTTACCTGGGCCCGGGTTTCATCATGCGTGTTGTAAGAGTTTTGGAAGTTCTTCCAAGCAAAGCGCTTAGAGCAAGGCTTGACCTCAAATCCATGTCATTCAGCCTCAGCGCTTACTTACTGCGGTTGGCCTCACCATCTCTGATCCGGGAGCCATGGGTTCAAAGCTCAGCTTGTCACCTGTTTGCCCACAGACCTCAGGTAGTCAAACTTGGGCAGCCTCAGTTTCCTATGTGCAGAGTAGGAGTGAGTGGCCCCCGGGGCCCTCCAGCTCCCGTGGCCCCTGGTGGGTGAATTGGGCTTGTAGGTGCCCTAGATGACAAAGCGAAAGTTCCAGAATGTAAACCTGTGGGCCCAGAACGCTTGGCCCCAGTGGCCAAGCCAGGACGCAACTGGGACTTCTTAAAATTATTCCCCAGGAGCGAATCTGAAGCAGAGTTTTAGTGTGAGGACCTCTTTTGAGGAACAGATTTTTCGTTTTCTGTCCTTAAGTTAACATCACATTTTAAAAATAATTAGTTCATTAATTAATTAATGAACACTCAAGAAAACATGATTGTTTCAGGGTACAGAGAACAAATTTCCATTTGAGGAGCCATCGCAACTTCACGGAGTCTGGTATTCACTGTACCCGAAACATCCCCTTGGCTCTGTCACTGCCCCTTCATCCAAGTGTGTGTGCACGGGACCCGGCACCAGAGCTGAGGCGGGAGGAAGCCCTCGAGGAAGGAGTCATTTCAGCTTCTCTCCTGGCCTCTGTGGTCGCCGGGGGTTCTCGAGAGAAAGCCGTTCATCCTCATGTGTCTACACGGGGCTCCCGAGCTAAATGTTTTTGATTGAAAGGATTTCTGGCACCATCCGAGACGGCAGCAACCAAAACATTTCAGAAGGAAATGAATGTTTTTGTAGGTAGAGTAAGTTGTGGGTCCTCGAGGCGCTTAAACACTTCATCATGGGCTAAGTGCAGTGTTTACGTGGCGCCGGTTCAGTCGTCCGAGAGCGGCCCTGCCAGGCCTCCCCCCTGGGCCTGCGTTCCCAGTAGCTCCAGCTCCAGCTCCAGCCAGTCGGGGAGCAAACGTAGGAAACTAGGCCAGCGGGAAAATGTCTGTTGGGCTTGGCTGGCAGGACTCGGCAGAGGAACAGTGGAGTCTATAGATCGAGCCAAAGCCAAAACCGATCCATTGGGTGTCTTAACGGAATCGCCAGTCGTGGAAGGCGAGCCACCTCTCAGCGGACTCTTGCTCTATGGCGGGGGCCGCGCTGGGGCTTGATCGGGTTGTCTCCTTTATGCCTTGAGACACCGCTGTCGTTAGAGGTAGGGTTTATTATCCTCGTTTTACAAGTAAGGTAACAGGCTCAGAGAAGTTATTTACTACCCAAGGTCACACAGCTGAAACCTGATCAAGCTGCAGTTTGGTCCTAAGTTGTCTTACTCCGTAACACACTCTTTTCCCCCCTCCATCGAGCCTACTCTCCTTCGTGTGCATTGAATGAGACAGGACATATGCAGGTCCTTTGTCAAGTATTTATAGACAAATATTAGTTCAGGGCTCTGGTGCACCACACCAGGCCACCCCTTGAACCTAAACAAACCATAATATTAGGAAACATGCCTGTATATCAGGCGACCCTACCGGGTAAGTCCACCAGATGGAATCAGCCTACCCTGGCTACTTGGTGTTGGCAGAAACACAGGGGTCAGTAAGAAAGTAAAACTGAGGTCCCCATGCCCTCGTCTTTCCACCGCTGGGATAAATATAAGTAAGATATCTGTCTCTGAGTCTGGGGCCCTAGGCGCGCCATCATTTCATGTTAAGGTTTTTTTTCCCTGTCTCGAGTCATACTGTTACATCTCATCCATATTTGATACGGAAATGGCTGCAGGATAAAAGAGGTCACTACGTAGCTTATCTCGGCCTGGGCGTGCTGGTCTCCATTGGAGGACTCAGTTGCACGCAGCTTGGGAGGGAGGGGTGGTGAACAGGGTTCAAAGGGACAAAATTCAGTGAAGTCCTACTTCAGTAACTTCTGCTTTTACATTCATTTTTCCCTTTGGACTGTCATTATCTTAAGGCCTTCCTTTTGCTTTTACCATGTTTTCAGACTCTACAGAGCATCTTCACACATCCTGTCCTGGCTCCTGAGCCATCAGAGGCCCCACCCCCCCGGAACCTGGCACCCATGAATAGTGTAGGAGCCCCTAGAGGTCTTGGAAGCCTGGAGCCATGGGACTATCCCTGCTGGGACAGACTTGGTTCTGGTGCCCACTATGGGAAGTCAGTTCTGTTCCTTACTTCAGAGGCTTATCCCAGCCAGAGTCCTGACCCTGAGCCTCAGTCTCCAGGGGAGGGCCCAGAACCCATGTATTTTCTAAAGCCCCCAAGTGTTTCAGGTACAGCTGAGTTGAGGCCCAGAGAGACACGCGGGAGCCAGCAGTCCTGACCCTCCTTGAATCGTACATTTCACTTCCCGGCAGTGATCACAAGAGCATCGCAAGTGCCTGACACTGACCTTCCCGCAGTCGTATAGAGCGCCCCTCCTCTCAGCCCGTGTTCGCTGTGTTGCACAACTTCCTTTCTAGCTTGTTGCCCAGGCGCTGAGACCCAGGCCCGGACCTCCTTCCACCCCCTGCCCCTTGATCACCTCCTGGGCCCTTGTCTGGTTCTGCCTTATCTCCTGCGTGTCTTTGTGATGGGACAGCCAGGAAGTGAGCCCCATTTGGGCTTCGAGTAGAATGACCTTTTCTGTCTCATTTCCAAAGTCTTAACTGCTTTTGGGTGGATGAGCTCATCTCTTGGAGGTTATGTAAGACACAAATGGCTTTGGCTATGTTACAAATGAGGAATCCGGCTTGGGTGCCTGAGAGTCCGTTGAAGTGCCCAAGGTCACACGGCCGGTGTGGGGCCAGGCCAATTTCAGCTCCTGGAGTTGAGCAGGTGGCTTTCTGGGATTGCCTGCCCCCCGGTCCCCATCCTGAGTCCAGGCTCAGCACTGCCGGCTGCTGTTTCTACACATATCATTTGAACCACTTATCCCTGGTATATTCAACTTGCACTTGCCCGTGTAGAGCCCCAGCTCCCCATCTCGCTCGTTATACAGACTCTCCCGGAGAGCACTAGACACCATTATTATGGCTGGCATCCCTCAGGTTGGAAAATTGATAAATAAGTTAAAATGAGGTAACACGGCTCAATCTCTGCCCCCCCCCCCATGAGACCGACCTCCCTGGATATCCCTCTCATCGTGTCCCCTCCCTGCTCCCCCAGGCCCGCCACCACAAGTGCGGGCACCTCTGGCCACCCTCCTGACAAGGCCCACCAGCCCTTCTACCCCCTTCCCTCCTCACAGCTCAGTTCCACATGCTTCTCTCACTAATGTGGAGTTAGGCACTAACCCCTGGCACGACCAGGAGGACTGATCTCAGGTTCCCGTGGCTCCTGCCGAGGGTGGGGCTTCCCACACGCTCGGAGGTCAAGGGTGGGTTTGGTTTTGTTGTTAATTCCCGATCTGTTGCAGACTGGTCATTTTACAAAAGACAGTAAACACATCACAGCAACGTTGAATTGCTAGGAAAGTTTCTAAATGCTCACTCTCCCATTCCGGTCTTGTCTCCCTGTGTGCCGGCAACATTTTGTGAGTTGGCGCCAGTTCGGGGAGCACACTCTGAACAGAACTGATCTGGACAGCATGTGCCTTTTAAAGAAGCAGGCAGGAAGATGCTTGCCGGGGCCACGCGCATGTCTGCCAGGGCTCGGGAAGAATGAAGGCCTTACTTTCCAAGAGAGTACAAACCTAAGGAACAGAAAGCAGTCACTCCTTTGCACACAGAGCTTTACATTCTTAAACGATCAGGTCCTTAATTTCACAGCGGGGAGAAGTGAAAAATTGCTTCCCTGATGACTGGCTGCCCCCCAGCATGAGAACCGTGTGACAAACACGTCGTGCCTGGCTGCCAGTATGGGCAAGAGCAAGACATGAATTGGGGTACTTCTGGGGGTGAAGGGGGGCATGACAGTGAGGATGATGACACCCCACCCTGTAGCCTGAGCTGCCCCCACGTCTCTGCTGTCACAGAGACTAGTGTGTCCTATCCTTCCGTCCCTGTCCCCTGGCCATGCCCAGAAGAAGTGCAGCCACCCGCCAGAAAAGCTTCCAGAGTCCTTCAGGAGCCAGAGTTCCTTTTAAAACTTGAATAAAGTACAGCTTTAGTCCTTGGGAAGTAGAACTGACTTTTTCTTCTTCTTCTTCTTCTTCTTCTTCTTCTTTTTTTTTTTTTTTGGTAATACCTTTTTTCCTATTCTGCATATTTTCCAAAATGAGCAAATTGGGGGGTGGGCAGTAAGTTTTTAACAACATCAGTTATCATAAGCATTCCTAAGCAGAGAAGCACCAAATGCATTCTTCCACATCTTTTAGCTCTTTTATAAAATGCTGACTGAGAATCAGTTGGTCAAACACCGTCCCAGCCTCTGGATAACGCAGTAGTGAACCAAAGGGATGTTGCATTACATCTTGGGATAGAAAATCCCAATGCTTCAGAGCTTCCAGGGGACCTCCTCAGACCCTGCCCCGTTGGCACCCCCAGCACGCAGCAAGACCCCTTCTGTCACCTTCAGATGGTGGCTCAGGTGTCACCATCTCAACGAGGCTTCTCCTGAACATCTCTTAAAACCCCACAGGCTCACCCAAGTCTGACCCCATGTCCCTCCCCCGCTTCAGTTTCGGGGTGGCACAGTTGGGGCCCAACACGCTTTGGCATCTCAGCTGCCTAGCCCCACCCACTGACTGGATGCCCGGGGACAACAGGGACTCTTCTCCCTGTGCTCACAGAGTGTGCCTGGTTCCTGGTGTGCACCCAATAAATACTGTCCATTGGCCAAATCCAGGCGCATTTGCCATGCAGACGGGAAGGTGGTGCAGGCAGGGTGTTGGCAGGTCCATCCCAGCAGAGGCAAGAGATAACGTCTCACCATGAGCGCACTGTCTCCATCACTCCACCTGCACGTTCTTGCCTCCGTTGCCAACACAGATAAACACAAGCCCCACCCAAAGGCAGGGCAGTTTTGTCATTTCCTTTCTCCTCCGCAGGAGCAGGCCATAGAGGTGCTGACCCGCTCCAGCCTGGAAGTTGAGTTGGCCGCCAAAGAGCGGGAGATCGCCCAGCTGGTGGAGGACGTGCAGAGACTCCAGGCCAGCCTCACGAAGCTGCGTGAGAACTCGGCCAGCCAGATCTCCCAGCTCGAGCAGCAGCTGAGTGCCAAGAACAGCACGCTCAAAGTAAGGGCACTGTGGGGGCCACGGGCTGAGGGAGGGCTGGACGCGCACACACACACACACCCCTGCTGCCTCTACCTTCTTCCACATGTGCCCCTGGAGGAGCCTGGGGCCGGCTGGCCCAGGGGATCACTTCTGTCTTCACTGTCTGGGGGCACGTGCTGGATGTGGTGACCCCCACAAGAGGCCTTATTAGCTCAGAAGCCACCTTGTCAGCCCTGCCTTGGTTGTTGCACAAGCGTCTTTCACGTTTGTGGATTGCACAGGTCATGGTTAGAACTCATCCTCACGTTAAAAGCAGAAGTGACGGCTCAGGTTTTTTTTCAGCTTGAGCTCCAACCATCAGCAAGAGTTTTTCCCTCCAGTGAGAACAGTGGCAGCATAAGGAGGCATGAGATTCCCCTGGACGCATCTTTCACGGGTGCCGTCCGAGCTCCTTTCCAGAGAGCATCTTGTCTGGAATTGACTGCAAGTAGGGCAACGTTGAACCTCCGTGAGGGAGCTAGAAGCAGGGTCCTGGAGCCCAAGGCAGGGAGAGTGACTTTGAACCCTTCTACCAGCTCTTGCCTGAACAACACTGCCCCTGATGGGCCATGCATTGCAGGCAGCACTTGGTAGAAGGCCCCGTCGTCAGTGCCCACCCACGGTGCTGCTTCCCCACCTGGTATCCCAAAGAGGGACATTCTGTGCACCTGCTTGTGTGGGGTTGGAGTGGTTGCCAAGGTCGCAGGCCAGCTGCACAGACATGCCTTGCATCGAGCTCCGCCAACCTTCCAGTATATTTTAAAAAATAATTATACTTGATTTAAGATTTTTCAACCTGTTACAGTTAGCACGGTATGAAGAATGTCCTCACACCCTAGATTCGCGGCGTGTCAGGGCCAGAAGGGCCTCTTCGGAGCTGTCTTACTTGACGATAAGCGACAGGGCTAGCAAGAGTGTGGGCCCGGCCCCCAGGCCAGCGGGCCCCCACTCTGCCATCCCTCCCCAGCCTGCGCGATGCCCGCCCAGCTTCCGTTTGCGGAGCGTGCGAATGACAGCCAAGCCCAGTCTTCATGTACTAAATACAGTGCGTCAAGATCAGTTGTAAAAATGTCAGGAAAACTTTCTCTTCAGTAAAGTAATTCCAGAATGTAGTTAGGCCCATCTTAATTTTTTTAAAAAACTGAGATTTCCCTTCCCAACGCATGCCCGTGTTTCTGACCTTGAGCCGAGTTTCCAGCAGGTCGGCAGCTCGCGGGCCTGACCTCCCTGACCCGGGGCACCCACCGCTCTCCCTCCCTGGTTTCCTCCTGGCCTCTTCAGGGTGGGTTTCCTCCAGTGTCTGAGGAGCCAGTCCTGCTGTCTTTGGGGAGAGGGTGAACACATTTGTCATCGACCATGACATTTATTTCTCCCATGGTTCTTATTCTCCCATCGGCCTGCCCAGTGAGTGCCAGCGTTCATCTTTTATTTCTAGATTAAATCTAATTTTCTTGTGTTACAGCCATTTCTGACCCCAGCAGTGACATTATTATTAGATAATTTGCCTTTCTCTGCTTTGTTACAGTTAAGGGGGGACTCAGATACATCCTGCATTTGACTATGAGAGGGAGGCTATAGAAGTTACATTTTTTATCATGGAGCAATTTCTTCTAAATCAGTTAAGGTTTTAATGTTTGCCTTCACACACAAAAAAAATGAAATGCAGTTTTACAAATTAATGTTCTTTATCTGTATCTTGGGGGAATTCTTTAATACGGTGCAGTTAATGAAACAATTTGGCAATACTTCTTCCAAAATTATCGCTCCCTTATCTTCATCTGATCTAATAATCAAAACATATCCTCTAGTAACAAGACTTCTCTGATTCTAATTATCTTAACCCCTTGTCACCAGGAGTGAAGATCTCCCCAATATTGAACCCACACACAAAAGGCATTAGCCTCCCCCAGACGAGCTCATCTACCTCCCTCACCCGAAGGGGTAAGGTTAATTGAATGAGATACCTTCCCAGGGCTTTTTTTTTTTTTTCCCCTAATGTGTATAATTTATAGTCTCAAATCTAAACTAAATAGCAATGCAGTTATTAGGAAAAATAGGTTATGAATGAGACCCGTCAAAGTGGCAACCTGATGCTTTTGTGATGGGGGGTCTCCGTCCCGGAGTGGCACCTGAACTTCCCCTGGGGCTTTCCTTTCCTGCTCCTCCCTCTCCCACCCCAGCCGCCCCCCCGACCACAGTCTTTTCCTTCTGGGACCATGTCATTCAGCCCCAGGGGACGCTGGGATACACGGTGCGGGGCTCAAACTGGGATCGCCGTCTGAGGATGCTGCAGCTTGTGGCCCGGCTCCGCTGCTTGGCGTTGGGGGTGGTTTTGCCATGAACGTTGACGATGGTCTTTGAGACAAACGCTAATGTGCTTGATGACAAGTCACTGAGGAGACGTGGGGGTTGATCTCACAGGGCAGAGTCTCTACTCTTGAGCTTACTGGGGTTTTCTCAGTGCCATACCCTGAAATGGAATATATTTGTGGGGGGCCATTGGTTTGCTTTCTCCAGCACCTTAAAGTCTCCATCTCTTGCAACTACTGTTTCCTCACCTAGACGATCGATTGGTAATTCCGTGAGGATGAATCAACAGTTGGATGTCTGCCAGTCTCTTTTGCCCCGTGTTCTACTTTCTCAAGCCACGTTCACCCTAAACACATTGCTATCCACATACAGTGGTGCTCCCCTCCCCTTTAAATAGACATGGAAACAGACTCAGAAGTGGGAGATGTTTCTTCCTGCCGAATCTGACAAGTACTCAAGCACGTTGCCGCTTGTACAGGATAATTCTGTATTTGTAATTAATGAAATAACCCGGCTGCCATTACAAGACTGTTTTTTTGATAACTCTCTTCTGTGGTCTTCTGTTGGAGCCCTTCAGTACAGAGGCCCTGTAATTACGCAGTCACCTGCATTTTACTTTCTAAAGCTCAGAAAATCACACTACCAATAACTTCAATTTAAAATGGCTATTTATAAGAAAGGCTAGCTAAAAGAATGCCAATCTCCCATTGGGAGAAACTGGTATTTTCTAAAGATGAGTACTTCCCACTGGGGGTGGGGAGTGCATTAGAATCACCTGGGGGGCTGTCTCCAGGGGCCTCCCCCACTCTCTGTCTCCACCCCACCCCCCACCCCCGCGCCATCTCCTGCAGTTCAGTGGGTCCTGTTGAGCCACCATGGAGCACGCTGTGTCCCTCAGAGGGTTGGGCCGGGAAAAAATGAATGACCACTTCTCTAGATTCACTCAGTTCTTTGTTTCTGGATGCTGGCTCTTTGATACATAGGTTCCCTAACCTATCTGCAATGAGGCTGCCTTCAATCTCGTTTCAATGAGTGTCTTCTCGATGTCTCAGCCTCAGCACATGAGCAGCCGTGATGATGCTCGTGGTCTCGAGGAGGAGGTTACTGAGGTTAGGAGAGGCCCATGCATGTCCCTCCACTGTGCCTGTCCCCCGGCAGGAGACTTACCCTGGGTCGCACAAACGAGCCCGAATGTCAGAAGTCCCAATAGCAGAGAGCCCGGGGCCAGGCCTCCCCCAGCCTTGTGCTGGCTGGGTCTTGAAGATGGTGTGAGCACAGATTCTTGGAGAGGAAGGAGTGAGGCTTCCATGGGGAGCAGGAGGCCACAGGTAGGCCCTTCCAAGGCAGCTGTAAACCAGGGCACATTACTAGAAGTGCTTTCAGAAGCTGATTACTTGTGGGAATCTGTGAGGAGGCCTCTCGGAAAGATACACATTACCCTGGCCACCTCGTGTCGGATCCGGGTGTTCCACCTGCAGGCAGCGTCCTGGTAGCCTCAGCATTGAGGCTGGACCCTCCTGGGCTGTGATGGCACCGTTCCGTGAGAAGGAGTCGGCTGCCTGGCTCACACCTGGATCACAGCTCGGGGAAATTGGAAGTAACCTCTGATAGGATTGCCTTCCTGGGGATCCCCCTTCACTGTCCGGGGTCACACTTCTCCAGCCTGTGGCGAGCCCTCCAGGATAACCATCACTCCCCTGTCATAGTCTGGCCGTGTGTGCACAGGGCCCACGTGGGCCCCCTGGGCTTCCCCTGCCCCCAAAACATGCCCGGCATCAGTAGATCCTAAATTTACGTGCCTGCTACCTCTCACCAAGAAACCGTGGGGACCAAATGGGTTCCCCATGCAGGTAAAGGAGGGTGCAGCCAGGACCTCAGGATGACGTGTCAGCCCAGGGGGCGGGGCGTCAGACCCCCTTCCCCAGAGCAGGGAGCCCAGTCATACATCCCCATTCTCGGCTGGGGGCCCCTCAGCCCAGGGGTTCCCGTGAAGACACAGGGTCACACACCACTGCCCCAAGCCTGAGCTGTTGGACTTCAGAGAACGCTGCTGGAAGCCTGTCTCTGACCATCTGGGGGGAAAGGTAGAGGCATCTGCACACGGCAGCGGGGTCACCTCCCCGGCCCACCGTCTGTTTGGTGGTGAGGATGTATTACCGCCCTGCCCCCCTGCTGTGCTGCCCAGAAGAAAGGCCTTTCCGAGGGTCTCTGCATCAGTCTTCCTGCCAGGGGTCCCATGAGTTAGTAGCCCTAGAGCACTTTAAGAACTTCATATGGATAATTCTTCTAGCAACTCAAGATCCTTTTGCTGAGCGCCTGCTGAGCTCCGAGGACCACGTGTGTGCTCTGTATTGCTAAGTGGATGGGACCTACATCCTGCGACGGTCCTGTCTTTGGGAACCCGTTTTCTTACTCTCCCCATTGTCCAGGGGAGGAGCATGAGGCCCAGCAGCCTAAGCCCGTTAGGAAGTGGAGAACTTCATAAACAGAGCCCCTGGATTCAGAACCAGAGAGCCCCTTCCAAAATCATACAGTCCTATCCGATACCACCCCCCCAGGGATAAAGTCCTAATAACACCAGTAACAGTAACCAACCCCCATCTCCAGAGTGCTTGGTCGTGTGCTGCTCATTCCGTGAGCATTATTCTATCTGGACCTCACCAAAGCACCGTACCGTGGGTGCCATTATCCCCATTTTATAGATGAATAAACTGAGGCTCAGAGAAGTTCAGTGTCTTGTTCAAGGTCACCCTGCAACTAAGTAGCAGAGCCAAGGCCTTGGTTGATCTGTCGGGCTCTGGAGCCCAGGTCTCCAGCGAGCACCTGGCTTGCCCTCCACACATGTCAGTTCCTCCTGGAATTGCAGGGGGAGGCAGGGGCGGCCTCCCGCTCAAGCGCGATCTGATTGTAGAACTCGGTGATTTGTTTTCTTTCTGTGGGCACACAGCCACCTCTGCAGAGATGGTGCAGCAGTGAAGTGAGATCGTGTTTGGGGCGTAGACCCCAGCACCAAATCTGGCCCAGCCAAGGAATACTCGAGAAATCTGGGAGGAGCCTTTCTCCCCAGAGGACAAAAGACGGAGCTGTTGCCCTTTCCAGGTGGAGAGTTTTTGAAGCTAGACTTTTTAGGCATCCAGCAAGGAGTCTCTGGTCAAAGACCCAAGCAGAGGACGGAGTGTGGCTCTGGGAAATCAGACTCCCCGGAGACGTTGGTGAGGACGGGCTCACAGTGCTCACAGGTCTGGACAGGCTTTACATCCTGTTGTCTGCCCCAGGAAACGAACATCAGAGGTTTACAGAAGCAGTCTTGGGGTTCTTCTCGATTAAGCTGCCCCCGGGTAGGTGGCAGAAGTTTCAGCAGACGATTCAGTCCTCAGCGAAAACCGTACATCCGACCAAGTGACAGGACTCCAGTCGTAAAACCTTCTCCTTAGGGCCCCTCACGGGTCTGCAAAGCCATGCTCCCTGGGAGACTTGGCAGTGGTGACAGCCCCACATCAGAGGCCCCGTGGTGCCACATCTGCACCAGGACCTGGCCCTGTGCTCCTTCCCCCAGCCCTTTGAGGTCATTGCTGCCCTTGCGTATTTCACAGATGAAACTGATTACCATGCTCCAAGGTGTCCCGCTCATAAGTGACGGACCTGACTCCAGGTTCAGTGCCCTGCTGGCTTCTACAGTGCTCCGGATTTTCCTGTCTCGCTGCCCTCCCTCCTGTCTCCTGAACACGAGCAAGTTTAATGTGTTCATAGCCGGCGTCCGTGAATTGCACAGCCTGAAAGGTGCTTTGCATCCCGGTGGCACCTGATCGTCTTTTGTTTAGGATGGCTGACACACGACTGTAGGGAGAACGAAGTAATCACTTCTTCGAGAGCACCTTCGGAGACTCTTTTGTCGGAAAATGAGTGCATGCTACCCACCCCACCCCCGTTTGATTACGATGAGAAACCATCATGATATACAGAGTTGGCAAGAGGTCATAAAAAGGCACGAGGGCAGAGCACTTTTACACAATGGAAATACACACAAGAATGTGCCAACAAAGGCGATAGGAAAAGATGAGCTAAAATTCTCTTAACAACGGGCAGGTTGAGATTCAGGTGAGCATCAAGCCTGATGGGCTAGATGGGCATCTCCTCCCCAGATTCTAGAACATTCTCACTCAGCCTTAAACTGTGGCTGTAGCCATGGCTGGCCAAGCACTACCTAAAAAGGCAACTGGGAGCGCTGTGGATTTGGGACCTGGAATTTGTTCACCCCAGGCCTGGAAATAGGCTAAATCGTCAGCCATCTCCCGCCCCAGCTGAGTCTTTGTGTTTTATATGAAGCGGCCTTATTCCCTTCCCCTTCGATGAAGGGAGGTCGAGAGCAGACTAGTCCAAACACTCTTGCAGAAGGGAGCATCCTCTGCTGACCACCCAAAGCCAGAGGCCCCTCCTAGCAAGAAAGCCCCACAGAGCACTGCACAAACCAGCCACATCAGGGCCCCGTGAGCTCACAGAGCATCTCATAGCCAGGGTGCATGTTGTCTCATTCCCCCTCTGAAGGGCATTCGAGGGCCAGAGAGTCAGTTGACTGTGCCCAACCTTGACCCTGCTGGCCAGGTGCCCTGCAAGGGCCCTCCCGTGGAACTCAGACAAAAAGACCACCCAGCTCACCGGGCCTCCGCTCCTAAAGTGCCCATGTCCGGGGCGGGGGATGCGGGGGGGGGGGGGGCAGCGCGGATCTGAAGGTGCAAATGCTTTTTCCACAATGCCTATCTGATGCCAACACTCAATGACAGAGGGCTTGTACCTCTTGTTAGCAGGGTCCCACCAAAGGTGTTGACAACTGACTGCACGTGTCAGCTAGCCTAACGTATCTCGCGAAAAGCCACACGCTGATGTGAAAGTGCTGAGCACTTCTCTTCGCTCTGTTTGCCATTTCATGGTATTTCATACAAAATGGCCTTCTCTCATTCTGTTTTCTACTTTGGTAAAGCTCTGTTCTACTTTGGTTAGGTTTGATATTACACCTGTGTGTTTGTGCACATTCACACTTGTTCACGTCCACACTCACGCCAGACCAGAAGCGTGAAGGTCAAGAAAGCAACCCTGCACGTTGGCACCATTCACTTCAACACGTTTGCGTTTCCTCTCAGGGACAGCTGGGCGTTCTCTAGGCACTGGAGTCCGTGAAGGCTGTCCTAGTGCCATAACAGGATGTCGTGACCTGGGCGGTTTAAACAAAAAACTTGTATTTCTCACAGTTCTGGAGGCTGGGAAGTCCAACATCGGGGCACTAGCAAATTCCATGTCTTCTGAGGACTCCCTTCCTGATTCCCAGACCAGGGTCTGCTTTCCCACCCTGCCCGCTCACATTGGGGTGCACCATGGGGTCTCTGTGCCGAGGGCACTGATCTCATCCATGGGGCTCCCCCACCCCTGGTGACCCAGTTGCCCCCAAAGGCCACGCCTCCTAACACCGTCACCCTGGAGGTTGGGATGCAACACACGGATTTGTGGGTAGGGGGTAGAGGGACACAAACATTTGCTTCATAGCGAGGTCCATCAACCCGTTGCAGACACAGCCACTAATAAAATTCCTCTGTTTTCAGCAACTGGAAGAAAAACTCAAAGGACAGGCTGACTATGAAGAAGTGAAGAAAGAACTAAAGTAAGTGTGGAGACGCTGGTGCGGCCACCCACAAGCCAGGGCTCGCTGGTGACTTCTGCTAAGGAAACACTCTGCCAGGGACAGGGCAGCCGCGGGCCCTCGCTCTGGGCCTTGGCGGCCGCTCCCCCACCAGGCCATGTCCCAGGCTGCCCAGAGCCATGGGCGTGTGCACTCAGGCCTGTGCCTGAGCTCTGGGGACTTTTCTAAGACGCCGTGCATTTCAAGTATGCCAGTAGGCACAGAATTAGGGGAGACGGTGCCCTGTTAGAAATTACAAAATATGAGCTTGTGTGCCAGCAGTAAGTTCCCCAAACAGGAGCAGAGCAGGGAAATGTTTTGTTTGGGGGTTGTTGTTTTTTTTAAGATTTTATTTATTTATTTGTTGGGGGGGCGGCAGACAGAGGGAGAGGGAGAAGCAGACTCCTCGCTGAGCAGGGAGCCCAATGCGGGGCTCGATCCCGGGATCCCGGGATCCCGGGATCATGACCCGAGCTGAAGGCAGACGTTCAACCGACTGAGCCACCCAGGTGCCCCCAGGGGAGTGTTTTCCAGTTGAAAGCCTACACGTGGCCTCAACCCCCCACCCCCACCCCCGACCACCTTCAGACACCAGGACTTTCTTCTCTCAGCTTCCAGTTTCCCATCCGAAGGCAGTAGCTGAAGTCCTGTCACCCCTCCAGTGCTAATGCGAACATTCTCAGGTAGAAGTCCCCCCACTCATGCCCGGCCTCCTAGTGCCTCAAACTCCTTCCCCCAAGGCTGCCCCCTGCCCTCCTGGAGCCCTCCTGGAGCTCATGGGCAGCCCCTGCCTCCATGGCTGGGCTCTGAAACACGGCACACGGTCACCCGGCCCTGCAGGCCTGTGTTCTCTGCTGGTGCAGGAACACGGGGTCCTTCCTCTGCTCCCCCCTGTTGGGCCCCAACCCCTCCACAGACACCCCCTTGGCCTCAGGCTCCCCCCTCTGGTGTTGGCATCTCCCTCCCATCTCTCCAGGCTGACCCCCCACCCGCACCCCGGATCCCTTCCTACTCCCCTGCTATCCCATCAGCCCCCCCTCCTGACACTTTTAATTTCTCCTTTTAAAATAAGCCTACACCCACTCGCCATGCTGTTCTTTGTATTCTCAATTCCATTCCCTCGGGTTTGCTAAAAAAGCCCACGGGAAGGCCTCTTGGACCTTCCCGCCACCAGGGCCCGTCGCCCTCCCTTGGCCAGGAACTCCCCCAGCCTTGCTGGCGACTTACCTGCAGGTGGCTTCTCAGCCCCCTGCCCAGAGGCCCAGCGTGTCTCTCCCTGGACAGTGTCGCCCCCTCTGGCCGCAGACAGCCTTGCGGCACCTCCTTGGACACCCCCCCACACGCACACCTGCCTCCATCTTCCCTCTTCCGGCCCTGAGGCGTGTGCTGTTCACCCGTCCGACCTGTGGTCTGCTTCTCCTGTCCCCATCGTCCTTCCTTCTGCTCTTCCTCCCACTCAGAAGAAAACGGCCTGTGCCTTCTAGTGCTGAGTCAGAGAAACTCTGATGTGAAGGCCTCCTCCCCCAGCCTCTGCCCATCCACGCAGCTCAGTCCCGAAGGTCCTCTTAGCTCACCTCCGTTCCCATGCGTGACACGATCAAGGCCCGTTCCCTCCCACGCAGCCGCTGCACGCTTCCTCCTGGAACTGCGCCTGCATGCCTAGTGGCCCTTTCTGCTACACGTGCCCACCGCGGCCCCCCTCAGCCCCAGGTCTGCATCTGAAGGCCCCACTCGGATGGTTTTTCTGCTAAAATACGCCCCTGCCCTCCCACTTCCTAGTGATCCAAGGGCCCTTCCAGACACACGCCCCACCTCCTGTCGCATCTCTGCCCCAGGCCCCCTGCCCACCTCAGTGGTCTGTAAAATGCCCTGCTCCTTCCAGGCCCTTCTCAGACACTGACTCCTCCTAAGACGGACCCTGTCTCTAACCCGAGGAGATTTCTGCTGCCAACAGCGCCCATCAGGTCTTCTGTGTTGAGTGCTATTTGGGTTTTGTCGTCTACCTGTAACAGCCTATGGAGTTTGCAAGGGTGAGGGGCAGAGCGGTTCTGATCCTCCGAGTGCCCGGCACCCGATAGGTCATCGGTAAAGATCCAGTGACTGAACAAACAGACGCTGGTGTTTTGGGTGTAAGCTTACAGGCTCACTTTAGTCTTTTGTTACATGATCCTAAAGATCTCAGACAAGAATATAGCTGCAAACGTGACAGCCGTAAAACAGGACAAGTTCCAGACTGCTCGTCACTTCTCTTCCGGCTGATGCAGTGCGGCCCCCGAGTTCTTATTATTTTCAATAGCTCACCATAAAATACAATTACGAGGTTTCCTTCCCTCCCCCCACCCCCCAGCTGCTCTTTCGTTCCTTTTCTGTTGGTCTGTGGGACACAGGCCGCTACCAAGATAAAACCACAGATAAACGAAGCCATTAGCTCCTCACTGACCGCCACAGTGGCTGCAACAGAGTGGTCTCCCGGGACCCTGGGCATTTGTACACGGTGCTCTTGACACTTCCATGGGACTTAAAGAGGGCAGAGGCCAAGGTCATGGCTGCGAGAACGCTGGGAGAGCACAGGTGGCCCGCTGCCGAGGACCACAGCCGCTTTCGCTCGCCTTCCCAAGCTCCTGGGGCCATCTGGACTCACTGTCCTTCCCTCCCAGATAGACTCACAGAAAGGAAGGAATGTCCCTTTGAAAGGAACACAGTGGTTCTGGGCACCTGAACTTCCTCGGCTCTCAGACTTGTGGAAACAAGCTGAGACCGAGGCGGTTTCAGCGATAAGGAGAACAAAGGAGAAACAGTCCTGCTCCCCCGCAGCGCCTGGGGCTGCAGAGCAGGTCTGTGGCCAGCCTTGGAGCCATGCAGTTTGGGACCTTGCTTTTTGCCTATTTTCCCAGGTCCCCACGTGGCAGCCACGGAGTGAGCATCTGGCCCCCCGGGGCAGGTGGGAGGGATGAGGTTTCTCTCTCTGGCTTCCTTCTTACAACTTTTTCATTCCCTGTAAGCTTGACAAATACATTCCACTTGCAACAATGTTACGTCTGTGTTCAACTTTAAAATTACACTCCGAAGAACAGCCCTGGTGTGATTCCATATGGAATGATTTACATGCTGGGCAAGAAACTTTTGCTGGCCAACTGCTAGTTGAATAGTTATTCTAGAGACACTATCAGATTATAATGCTGCCAGGGAGGTTGTTAAAGCTGTCAGTTCCTCCGTTCCTGGAGTGCAGGAAAGTGTAATGTTAGTGCTCATTAGTGTGGCAGTTATCAAAGGTAGGAGTGGGGAATAACCGCTCTGTCTTGCTCTCCACAGCATTCTGAAATCCATGGAGTTTGCACCGTCCGAGGGCTCTGGGACACAGGTACGCGCTCTCGTTTGCTCTCTGTGTGCGTGAGGGCCAGCTCGCCGTGGTCACCGCCCGTCCCCGGGCAAGCCTCACGCTCTCGAAATTTCCGTGAAACCTCCCGCCTGCAGCTGACGAGTCATTTCCCGGGAACCTTAAGCAAGTTCAAGCACATTGTCTTTAATTAAAAAGAGGCAGGAAGAGAAGAGTCAGTGTTTTCCAGACGGGTAGCTCAGTTCACATGACGTTGCGATCTCACTTGGGCGGGCAATGAGCACATGGATAAGACCACTTTTAGATTGTGTCAGAGACCAGCCTCAAACGGACCGGCTTAGGAACTTTCTTTTATCTGCTGCCTCGCATGGAAAAGAGGCGGGGCACAATGACCATGGTGCGCAGTAACCTGGTGGCCAGGGAGAATTTAAGGCATCAAATGGAATCCCGCTCTTGATGTCCAGCTGACTCTTTGCGGCTGGTGCCAAGGAAAGCTTAACCTTGGTAGCGACGTCCGGACAGGTTTGTGGCTTGGCAGCCAGTCCGCATGCCAGATAAGGCACGGGTTTAGACTCCTCGAACTTGGGGACAGCATAGAGAATAAGGAGTTGTCTAGAAGCCACACGGGTGTAAAAGAAGAATGACTGCGACTGGAATGCAACCTTTGGGAAAGGCTCTTGAGTGCTCTCCACGCGTGTGGGAGCATCTCCAGGGGAAGGCAGGTTTCCGTAACGCATGGGAGTCAGCAGGCTGCACAGGCCATCAGAGCAGGGGTTGCGGGGTCTGGCGGCCCCGGGGAGCGGGCGGGTGGCCGGCCCCGCAGTGAGTGAGCCCTGCTCTGCCCCATCTAGGACGCGTCCAAGCCCCTGGAGGTGCTGCTGCTGGAGAAGAACCGGTCGCTACAGTCCGAGAATGCCGCGCTACGCATCTCCAACAGCGACCTGAGCGGTAGGTTGACAGGGTCTCGCGTGCCGTGCTCGGTCCCTTCCGGGGGTCGAGGAAGAGGAAGGTGAACCGTGAGTCTGGGCAGATGCATGACGGGAGCATCAGCGGTTGATGACAGCCTTGACTAATGAGCGCTTGGTCTCCTCCTGGTCCTCCGCACGGCTCCTCCCCTCCCCCTGCCCCGCCTCCCGACGCGCGTGGCGAGGCGGGTGGCCGCAGAGCACCTGCGGCGGTCAGTCAGGGCCGGTGTTGCAGGAGAGGCCAGGAGGGACACTCGGAGGATGGTGGCCTCTCTGGTCCGTTCCCAGTCGTGCGGCCTCTGTCTTGTGGTGTTTCCGGGGCTGCTTCCAGCCTCAGTGGAGCTTTTCTTCCTTTTGTCAGGTTTTCCTTGGGAGCGCATCCCCCATCCTTAGCCTTTTCTTTGCTCGTCCCAAAATGGTGGCGTCACTGACTGCTTCTGGTTTTGGCAGCTGGTAAACCGTTTAACAGTGTCTCGGGCTCCGATGATATTTCATTCTTAAAAATGTGCGTGCCTTCGATCGAGTGGACTCGGTGCAGTGCATTCGCCTCAGAGCAAGTGGTGTGAGAGAACCCGTTGGTCCCAGAATGTCAGTGTTTGCTGCTCCTCAGGTGGGGCCCTTCTGGTAATAGCTCGAATGCTAGCGGCCCGATAAGAGGCCCCGCGACCTGTCGACTCTTTACTGTGTGTGGTACCGGCTCCTTGCCACTTTAGGGGTTTGAATCTGTGTCGAGGGGACTCTCCAGGCTGCAACGTACAAGAAAGGTGCAAACATGAAATGCATGTTGCTTGTTTCGGGGGGCCTCGTTTGGCTAATTTAAAAATTCAATTGAAAAACAAACCAACACACCTCATTGGCCCTTGGAAAATCTGCACTTTTTTTTTTTCCCTTTTGTGGGGCAAACTTGGCATTTTGGTCTTGGTTTTTTTTCCCTTTTGAATCCCCCATAATGCATTATGTTTGCCCTTCCTTGTAGGGTCAGCCAGGAGAAAAGGGAAAGACCAGCCTGAGAGTCGGCGTCCTGGACCTTTGCCGGCCTCCCCTCCTCCTCAGTTGTCCCGCAACACGGGGGAGCAGGCTTCCAATACTAATGGTACACACCAGTTCTCACCAGCGGGGTTAACGCAAGACTTTTTCAGCTCATCCCTGGCAAGCCCCAGCCTACCCCTGGCTTCTACGGGAAAATTTGCACTAAACTCTCTCCTCCAACGACAGCTAATGCAGTCCTTCTACTCCAAGGCCATGCAGGAAGCAGGAAGCACAAGCATGATTTTTTCAACAGGTCCATACAGCACAAACTCCATATCTTCCCAAAGTCCATTACAACAGAGCCCAGATGTAAATGGCATGGCCCCGTCTCCCAGCCAGTCAGAAAGTGCTGGGAGTGTCTCCGAGGGCGAGGAGATAGACACGGCAGAAATCGCCCGGCAGGTGAAGGAACAGTTGATCAAGCACAATATCGGACAGCGCATTTTCGGACACTATGTCTTGGGACTGTCTCAAGGGTCTGTGAGCGAGATTCTGGCCCGGCCCAAGCCATGGAATAAACTGACCGTTCGCGGCAAGGAGCCCTTTCACAAGATGAAGCAGTTCCTCTCGGACGAGCAGAACATCCTGGCTCTTCGCAGCATCCAAGGCAGACAAAGAGGTGAGAGGCTTTCGGGGGCTGGCGCCAGCGTGTGAGCCCATCAGGGTTGTATGTGAGTGTGTGTGTGTGACGAAACATTTGTGCATCACATCAGGTAAAGTTCTCTTGAGTTCTACCATCTCCAGGGTCCGAGGGTCGGCTCGCATGAGCCAGAGCCCATAGACCGGGGTTGGGGGGGGTCTGGCCTCTGACACTCGCTCAGCACCTCGCATGTAGTAGACTCAGAACCTCAATCCCACGTATCGAATCGGACGGAATTACACCCCGTACAACGTCCCGATGTGTGTAATGTCCAGTGGTCCGATGGGCAGTGGGTGCTGGCCCCATGGGGGAGGAGCCCTCAGGTAGCGTCCAGCCCTAGAGCCCCAGCGGCAGCAGCCAGGGTCAGGCCTGGGGAGAGCGTATCAGCCACGTGTCCTCTCCTCTTCCCCACGTGCACAAGGGAGCATGTCCTATGGCCAGCCTCCCTCCCGGTGTTAGCTTCTGTTAGCGATTGGCGCAGCCCAATGAGCAAAACACACCTGCCTTGAGTAAGATACGTGAAAGTTTTATTAAAACACCCTTCCTACAGCACCCTCCACAAAAAGATGAAAAGTCCATTCGCATCCCTGATTGAGAGAATCCCTTCCCCCTTGAACGACAGGATCATTCTGCTAAACCAGCAGTGGTAGAGAGGGGTAGATCTTACCAGACGCCTTTGAAACACGACAAATGGAGCAGGAAGACGTTTCGAACAGCGTCGATTTGCACAAAGCACATCGAGCTTTCTATGGCGATGTTAACCGAAATTGACTGTCTTTGGATGATTAATGTGAACTTTGTTCCGGGGGCTGGTGGGCGATGCGCTTGGTGGCAGGCGGTGCTCCCTCCGTTTGACCCTCATGGCATTGGTGCCGTGGGCCACTCCTTAGGTCTGTCTGATCTTCCGCAGCAGAGCCGTGGCCTCTGCAGGCCAGCTGGCCAGGGAAGGGCCTCTCAAAAATTTCTAGTAACTCCCGAGTTGCACAGGAAGCCCTGAGCCCTTACTGTAGCGACAGGCGGCTCAGATTTCATGTCACACAGCCCATATCGTCAACACCACCATCCCCCTGATTGTTTTGTTCTTACCACACTTGTTTTTCAACAGAGAATCCAGGCCAGAGCCTGAACAGACTATTTCAGGAAGTACCGAAACGAAGAAATGGGTCCGAAGGTATGTTGCAGGCAGGTGTTTTTCTTTGCAGTTAGTAAAACCTAGGAAGCAGCATGTCCTTAGCTGTGCATTTGGGTTAAAACTGTGCAGTGTGATTCTGGCCTGGAACCTGATGGAAAAACAGCTAGTAAGTATAAAACAAAGCACGGGCTCAAGTACGCACAGTCCCTTCCTCCTGAGCTGCCCGCACTCTACCGGGTGCAGAAGAGGCGAGGAGAGAAAGCGCCCCTAAGAATCAGTCCCCAAGTGCTATCCCACCTCCCCCTCAGGCTCAAATTACACCGCCCCCCCCCCCTTCTCAGAAGCAGGCAGGAGCGTAACAATCGTTGCTCTGAGAAAAAATCAGGTGGCTGAGTCAGATGACATACTGCTGCTTCCTTGTACTTCCTTTTAACTCTGAACTGTGTTAAAGGTACTACGGAGTGGACAAATTCCAACAAATTCCAAACGTAATTGGTTCTCCTCTGGGCCCCCCTGCGCTCCTTGGTGCTGCATCTTTAAAGGGGCTCCACCCCTGCGGTCTGCTTGTTTTGCAATGGTTTGGTGTGGCGGTGCTTACTTAGTAAGGTAGCGGGTGCTTACTTAGTAAGGTAGCGGAGAATTAAAATACGATATGTGGAAGGCTTCCGGAAAGAGCCGGGGCCAAGCCCCCGGGGCCACAGTAGCTTCCGTGCGTCCGTGCAGGTGGCTACTCTGCAGAGCGTCACCAGGTGACCGAGGGTCTTGTCCTGGAGGGAGCTCTGCAAGCTACTCGCCTCATTCATAAATTTTTAAAAGACAGCATGTGACCAGAGAGCCAAAATAGGAAGCCTTCATCCTCTTCACCTTGTATGTGCCCATGACTGATAGGTAATCTGCCTCGACCCTTCACCCGCCTTTCCCATCATTGCTTTTTGGGGACACCAGTGTCCAACAGACGTGCAGAACCTTGAGCACAGTCCCAGGCCAAAGCAATTGTCGGAGTTGCTTTTAAATGACTCGCAAACACCACTGCCTTTTTCAGGCCTTCCTCTGGTTTTGTACTGGAGTGGGTGACCTGCTCTCCCTAATCCCGCCCCACAGGTGCCCTCCAGTTGGGGTAACCGTGAGAGCTTGTCCCGCTGGCCAGATGACCCTGACCGCCAGGTAGATTCCGCAGGAAGCCCTTCCTGCCCAGGGCCGCAGTACCTGCTGTGAAGTTGCACGCACAGCAGGTACGGGTCAACGGGAGGCCACGCCTGCCTCCTTAACCGTCACCGGCCTCAACTCGGGAGCTATTGATCAGAATGACCTCTTCGTGCAGCCCTGATTTTTGTTGGTTTGTTTGTTTTCACGTCTGGGTTTGATGTCATGGGTGTGGCTTCTCCCTGCAGGTAACATCACGACCCGGATCCGAGCCTCCGATACCGGATCCGATGAAGCAATCAAGTCCATCCTGGAACAAGCCAAAAGGGAGCTGCAGGTGCAGAAAACTGGTACGGAATCCGCTTCTTTGACCACTGTCTTCCAGGCTTAATTAGAAGAATTGTCATGAGTGTCCTGGTTAGCGGTATTTAACTTTAAAAAAAATAAAATGGAAACCCCACACAATAGAACGTGTGTTTTCAGGCACTTAGGCAAGGGCAGAGGGGAGCAGAGGTCTGCGTGATCTCTATTTTTCTTTTTATCACATCATGCCCTAGCACTGACTCAAGAAGGTATCCCTGGCCTAGATTGTCCTTATACTTACGTGGACAGGTAGTCTGTATCAAATTGCCTTTTTCAAATGCCACACAGGCTGTGTTATTTGGATATATCCTTGACTGAACCCTGAAAAAGGATGGGTGCAAAATAAATCCTAAGCTCCTTCCCAGAACCAACGTTGCTAGGGAGGAGCAGGAAGTTGTAGTAGATGGATGTCCAACTCTGCGGCCAGGCGGCCTCAGGACTCGGCCCTCAGTGCTCCCTGAGAGCTGCCTCATCTGACAGGAGAGAGCCGCCACGCTTCAGCCTCTCTCTGGCTGAGTTTGACAGCAAGGCACACCGGCCGTAGGTTCAGCTCAGACCTGCTGCTGGAGAGGAGACCGAGTGCCTGGGTTCTCTTGCTCTGGGGTTCAGCATAGGGACGCGCACCTGCCCCATACCTGTGAAGCCCCTGCTCTGCAGAGCCACTCCCTCGAGGACCTGGTCACGGGGTTCTCGCCAGGCCTGGTGGCAGGCCACCACCCAGTTCCTCCCCTGGCCACCAGGCCCTTCCCCCAGGCCACCCCACTCCCACATGACTCATTCAGTGGCAAGCCTGGAGCTCCCTTCTGGGAACTAGGCCTGGGCTTGGCATTTTTACCTCCCCTGTCCTATTTAAACGAGGTCCGCACCCTTGCCCTGAAAAGTAGATACTGTTATCCTACTGCTGATTCTCAAACTCAGGCTTCAAGTGAGACTTAATAAATGGCACGTCCTGGGTGGAAACCCGGGTCTCTCAGCTCTTACCCAGCACCTCCCCCTCTGCAACCATCCGCCTCCTTACAGGGACCCCAATGCAGTGGGTGGGAGAGCATCCTGTGAGGCCCCGGGGCCTGACACTGTGGGAACCTTCCATTTGATGTAGTTCTTCCTCTCCAGACCAGAGTTGACGTGTAAGCGAGCCCCTCCTCTGGGTGGCTGAACAACCAAGAGGCTTGGCCAGGCCCCCTGACAGGGTGGGAGACAGCCCCAGAGCGAGAGCAGAAGGGCCCAGTTTCTCCCGCAGAGCAGTGCTGGCTCTGCCTGCACCCGAGGATGCTGTGGGGATCATGCAAATCCAAGAAGCAGGGCCCTCAGTCACCCGGTGAAATCAAGTCCTCGAGAGGCCTAAAAGGTTGTCCCTGTTGTTTGAAGCATTTTTCAGCCTCATTTTAAAGTGGATAAAGAGCCGGCTCCTGTGATTCCGTCCCCCAGACGTGAAGGTGTCCACGAGCTGGTACACCTGTGGGAGCGTTCAGCCCGGCGCTCCTCAGCCAGGGCCTCACTCCACAGTCGCCCGGGAGTTGGTCAAAAACACGGGGCTGCTGCAGCCCCGCACCTGCTACTCAGGCAGACCCTTCAGGGCTGGGGCCTGGGCATGTGCATTTTAACAAGCCCAGCGGGTGATTCTGGGGCACAGCCCTCGTTAAGGGTCCTCAATCTAGCCCACCACCCATCCCAGGCTCACAGACGGAAATCCCGAGGCCCAGCCGTGCCCTCAGTCCCCCAAGGTCGCAGCCCTGGGTTCCCGGGCCAGAGCCTGGCCGCTGTCCCCCCATCATGGGGCTCGCTGTTGCTGGCCACACCACAGTCCCCTGCCCAGGGGACAATAAACGTGAGCCAGCCCAAACACGGCCGTGTCTCACTGGAGACTCTGGGCTCACGCTGCAGCCCTTAACAGAAATTACATCTCTAAAGGTTGACCCAAGCACTACAGTTTTGGAATTTAGCACACGAGAATATTGTTTAGAAATCCTCAGGGGTGATGGCACGTCCCTGAGCGTTTGCCCACTTTCCCCGCTCCCCACCCCCCACACTCGGGGTTAATGAACCCTTTCGGATGGTGTGAAGTAAAGGCCAGCGGGTCTCAGAGCGGTGGCGTTAGTCCGTCTGTCCCTGCCCAGACAGGATGCACGCGGGGTCCACTGACCGAGGAAACGCTGGTCCAAGTCAAGCGGCTTGGTTGTCCCAGAGAGTTGGCATTTTGTGGGAGGCCGGGTTAGAAGGAAGCGGAGGGAACAGCACGCTCCCAACCGGAGGGGTCACGCCCGCCACCACCTCACGCCTGTGTTTGCTCCGTGCAGCAGAGCCCGCCCAGCCTTCGTCCACAGCCAGCAGCGGGAGCTCCGACGACGCCATCCGCTCCATCCTGCAGCAGGCCCGCCGCGAAATGGAGGCCCAGCAGGCCGCCCTCGACCCCGCCTTAAAGCCCGCGCCGCTGTCCCAGGCCGACATCGCCATCCTGACCCCCAAGTTGATACCCTCCTCGCCCATGTCGTCCGTGTCCAGCTACCCTCCGCTCGCCCTGTCCTTGAAGAAGCCCCCCTCCACCCCCGATGCCAGTGCTTCCGCTCTGCCCAACCCCCCGGCCCTCAAAAAGGAGTCCCAGGACACGCCCGGGCTGGACCTCCAGGGAGCGGCCGAGTCTGCACAGGGGGTCCTGAGACATGTGAAGAGCGAGCTGGGCCGCAGCGGCGTGTGGAAGGACCACTGGTGGAGCACGGTGCAGCCCGAGAGGAAGAGCGCCGTGCCTCCCGAGGACACCAAGTCGGAAGAAGCCAGCGGCACCAAGGAGAAAGGTGGCGGCAGCCAGCCGCGGGCCGAGCGCAGCCAGCTCCAGGGACCCTCATCATCGTCGGAGTACTGGAAGGAGTGGCCCAGCGCCGAGTCGCCATACTCCCAGAGCTCGGAGCTGAGCCTGACCGGAGCCAGCCGCAGCGAGACGCCCCAGAACAGCCCCCTGCCGTCCTCCCCGATCGTGCCCATGTCCAAGCCCGCCAAGCCCTCAGTCCCTCCGCTGACCCCGGAGCAGTACGAGATCTACATGTACCAGGAAGTGGACACCATCGAGCTCACCCGGCAGGTGAAAGAGAAGCTGGCCAAGAACGGCATCTGTCAAAGGATCTTCGGGGAGAAGGTAAGGGGTTGGTTCGGGGGCCTGGCTTTTCCCATCTCTCTGGAGGATATGGCCATAGCCCCTTTAGTGAGCCACAGAGCAGAAAGGGTCGGCCACCCTCAAACTTGCAGAGAAGCTGGCCGGTGAGCGTTCCATTTGCCGCGTCCCCATCTGGGGTGAGACTCTGGGCTAGGCCCCGTCACCCACCACGCTCCTTTCGACTCCTGGTGACACTGTGAGGGGGCACTAAAGTCATCATCCGACAGATAAGAACAGTGAGGCTCAGGGAAGTCAACTACATGCCCCCAGCCGGCCGGTGGCTGAGTTCAAGTCCCACCTCTCTGCCAAGTGTGGCCCAGATGCACCTCCGCAGGCTTTTTTTTGGCCAAAAAAGATCCAAGCCCATAGGGAGACCACCAGTGTGCAGAGAAGCAAAAGGCACAGGATAGGAAAAGCTCGTGTCACGTGATAGGCATAGTCCTACCTTTCTCATAACTCAGAAGGCGCTTGGTGAAGCGACCTGCCCAGAATCCATAGCTCAGGCGGCCCGGGCCATGCCCACAGCTGGCCCTGAAAGCCCCCATTTCCATGTCTTCCCTTCCAGGCTCATGAAAGTACAATGGTTTGTGAGTGAGCCCCCCCAGACCCTTTTTGTTCTTGGCACTTCCCGGTAACAGATTCTGGATAATGGGGATTTACTAGGGCCATAAAATAGAAGATAAACATAATACCCCAGCATCGTTTCAGAGTCAGTAAGTAATTACTGAGCATAACGAGAAGCACTCCACTCCCCTAGAAGGCAGCCTCCCTGAGGGGCACGTGGCGGGGGCGGCAGTGGCCCCCGAGGGGCCCCACGCAGGGTCTCCATCCCCTCCTGCATCCCCCCCCCGCCAGCCCCACACTGTCCTGCCTTCCATTCAGTGTTTGCAGCGTACCGTGCCTCGGATCCTTACAACATCTCACTGTGATCTCTTTGTCCTGATTTTGCAAAAGGTGATGGGGTGGAGAGAAGTGAGGATGAGAATTTTAAAGTCCCTTGAAATTTCTAGTTCAGTGTTGTAAAAATATCATTTGAGAACATTTAAATAGACATTTGTGCTCATGCCTTAAATTTAGCAGAGACTTAATAGCGTTGAACTTGTTTGGCCCGTGAGTGCAGTTTATTCTGGAACTTGAGAACTTTTCAAAAGAGTGATCGAATGCAGCCCCTAAATATCTCTGGGCTGCATCTGTGTCCTGTGGGGGGTGTTTGCGCCCATACATATGTATGGCCATATGTGAGCGTTCAGAAAACTCGGGCATGTACGTGCAACTTGCTGGTCGTCTGCAGTGAGTCTTAGTCCCAGGCTGGCGCCCCCGCTGCCGCCGGCTCACCTCTGGGCCCACACTGCAGAGCAGGATGTGGTCAGAGAGAGCAAACCTCTCTAAAGGCCAGCCTGGCCCAGCGCCACAAAGACGACTGGCCTCCCGCATCCCGCCAGCATCCGCTGCTCCGGCCGCTAAATGGGTCCGTGACCCCAGCACCTCCACCTTTCATGACACCACCAAAAAGCAAGATGGTTTCGGCGCTTCCTCCTCAGGGTGTCGGGACTACAGCCCCGCGGCCTCGGCGGCCTCGCCCTGGGCGAGATCCCATCCCCTCTCCCTGGGAGCAGAAAGCTAGGACTGTAACTGTGGCTTCCCCGTGCCAGGGCGTCAGCCCACCGGTGACCTTGGAAGCTTATGCCCCCGCCCCAGGCTGGCGCCATCCACCAGGCAGGGACGGATGGGGCGGGGGGCAGGGGTCTGTGCTCAGCCCCTAAAGCGCTCACTGGGTGTCGTCCGTCTCGGCCTCTCCACGGCTCTCTGTGCATCGCTGGCGAATTTTGTGGCCTCGCACTAAATCCTGGCCACTGATGCCATGCCTTTGGTTGCCACTGCAGGTACTGGGCCTGTCCCAGGGCAGTGTCAGTGACATGCTGTCCCGGCCAAAGCCTTGGAGCAAGCTGACCCAGAAAGGCCGCGAACCCTTCATCCGGATGCAGCTCTGGCTCAACGGCGAGCTGGGCCAGGGTGTCCTGCCTGTGCAGGGGCAGCAGCAAGGGCCAGGTAAGGGCGGCCCCGCCCCTGGGTGCCTACAGGTGGGGGGCGGGGAAACGTATGCGGGGAGGTCACGACCTGCCCCCTTCCTCCACAACTTGTTGCCATGGGACTGACTTCAGTTTCGAGGGGAGAGAAGATTGTGCCTAGCTAATTTTATAAGCAGCGGAAAATGAGTTACTAATTAAGAAAATGCTGTTTATACATAAATATAAGTAAAAGTCAAGTAGCTAAGTCAGGGAATCAGGAAAGGAAATCAGCCAAAGGCACAGAGGTGAGCGAACGGGCTCCGGCTTCCACCTGCTCCCGACCGGGGGGTCCCGGCTCTCCCTGGCAGAGCTGTGCCTGCCTGCATGGCCCCGAGTTCTGGCACCCCCTGGAAGGAGTGGGACCTTTGGGGTCCTTATGCTGTCCCCGTCCCACTGCGCTGGGGGCATTAGGAAGCTTTAAGCGCCTGGGGTTTGTTTCCTCATTTAATTGTGACCCTTTGTCTTATTTAGTTCTCCATTCTGTGACGTCACTACAGGACCCCCTGCAGCAGGGCTGTGTGAGCTCAGGTAACCAGCCGATTTCTGTTGTCTTGTGTGAAATATTTCCCTCCCCTGTACGTTTTCCTGTCGTCTGGTCTGTAGCCGGGAGACGCAGAGGATCCCTGGCTCTGGGTCTGAAAACACTATATCCTGTTGGCACGCTAGTTTCTCGTGGTCCTAATTTCTAATGGAGACCGGGAGAGTCGACAGCTGAGTGAGGGTTTCACCCTCCAGCGTTTTCCCGCTCACCACCAAAGTCTTTCATCGGTCTGTGGCTTCTAGGTGCGCAGGCCTGGGGGCTGGGGTCCGAGTCAGAGACAGATTCTGTACCCGGGGGGGGGGCTTCCGTATGAATAGGAGGGGACGGGATCGGGTGCACAATGCTCCCCCAGCAGGGTCATGGCGGGGAGAAGTTGAGTCCATCTGGAAGAACTTCGGGCCACCTTCAAGCAGGAAGGCTGGGGAAGAAGGAAACGCCTGGCAGCGTCACGGAAAGATGGCAGAGGGCCCCTGGGAGCCGTTCGGGGTGTGACTGGATACAAAGCCAGTGATGCCCAGAAGAGTGGGGCTGAGGATGTGAATCCAGCTGGGAGGCGGGTTGGGGGGGGCGCCTGGAGTGCCCGCCGGCTGGGACCCTCACCTCATCTGAAGCCCCGAGGTCTCTGAGGCAGCGTTTCTGCCCTGCAGACCCCTTGCGGCGGCACCGTGCTCCCGGACCCCCTCGCGTGTCCTCCCTGCGCTCCCGCTAGTGCAGAGCTTGGCTCACCCAGCTTCCAGGAACAGCCAGCATCTTGAGCTGCTCCTCGTTTTTCCTTTATTTTTCTAAACATGTTGATTAGTCTCCATATCCCATTGATTCATTGAAAACACAAACAAAGCTAAGTGAGGAGCGTGAAGCCCGCCAGCCCGCTGCAAGTTTTACGAGGGGAAACATGTGTAGCACAGGGAACAGCTGGGCGGCAGCGGCCGTTACCGCTGAGAGATGCCAAACCCACGCACAGATGCAGCCCGAGCGGGGCGCTTGCCGCAAAGTTCCCGGCTGAGCTTGTGCTCGGGATATTCCCGATTTGATTTTGACCAAAATGGGGGTGCGGAAGGCCGTATCGTACCCGGATCGTTTGTCTCCTTGGCTGGACATCTACGTGGAGCGGTTTGTCCACCCGCAGAAGGATCCCAGGTGCTTCCTTCTCGCGTCATTTCCGGGTCGCTCAGTTTCATTAGCAAGCCCCAGAGAACTCACCCGGCCCTGGCTCGCCTTCCAGATGCATCAGGGCAAATAATGCACAGAGTCGTTTGTGTCAGAGCTTTGCAGACGTTTGCGTGGAAAATCAACCTTCCTCTTACTCCTGCGGAAAACTGGCCTCCCCTTAAGCCCTCCGAGAATATTTGCCGCCCCACCAGAGTCAGGACTAAACTTGGCAGGATGTGACAGACGTTTTTTAGATCAAACTCACTTGTTCCTAAATAAAACGGGAAGTCTCCTGCAGTTCCAGGTCAGTTACGATCGACGCCGAAATCTCCTCCGTGTGCGAACAAATCCTTAAAAAGAATGGCCTTTCGCTCTTTCATCGTACGGCAGGTAGTTGCTACCGTGTTGGAACTTCCATAGTCACATTCCCAGCGTGGGAAAACCACGCCGGGCTCCTCAGAGGGACGTAAATGGTATTTGTAAGATATCGGATTACTTTATAAAATAAAGCGATGCATAGAACTCGTGGAGAGTCTGCAGATTGGCGGAGGCAGGGAGCCTCTGGATTAAAGCGAGTACTGAAGAACTTTCCAGTGGTTTCTGTGAGGAGGTGGCAGGGGGGTCTCTCGCTCTGTCACCTCAGCCAGACGGGAGGCGGATTGCAGACCGTTTCACCCACCATGCCCGTTGTCAGTCAGCAAGTGGGAATCCGTAGAAACAATAAGCATGGTGATTGTGGAGAGAAATGGAAAAATATTTCATATATCCTAGGAAAATAAAATTTTTCTAAGATTTATTTATTTAGTTTAGAGAGTGCGCGCGCATGCGTGCAAGTGGGGAGGGGAGGCAGGCAGAGGAAGAGGAAGAATCTCCAGCAAACTCCCCGCCGAGTGCGGAGCCGGATGCGGGGCTCGATCTCAGGACCTTAAGATCATGACCTGAGCCCAAACCAAGAGTTGGACACCCAACTGACTGAGCCACCCAGACACCCCTAAACTTTTTAATATCATGATGGTAGCTAAGCCAAAATGTTTCTCTGGATTGGCAAAGACTAGGAAGTGCTTGTCAAAACGAGAAGGACGATTATCACATTGGCAAGATTGTGGGTAGTAGTTTTCCTTGTTTGAAATTTCTTTACTATCAGTGTTATCCTTTCAAGAGTGTTTCTAAAAATCAAAGTAGCTGAACTTTTCAGTATGTGGAATTTAGATTCGAAAAACCGAATTATTTTACGGTGATGAGTATTGGTAAATCATCAGGACGGATGCCCATAGGAGACTCCAAAATCTTCCCCGACAGAGTAGAGAATCAGTGTCCCTGAGGAGAGCTTCAGCAATGCTGCCCCAGAGGCGCGGTAGTGAAGCCCCCGGTTCTAGGATTTCCCCAGGATTCTGGTTCTCTGTTCTCACCATGGCTGCCACGGAATCCTTCCAAGGGGCGCCCTGGACCTAGAAAGATGCTGTCCTTGATCGTGGCTCCATGAGGCCTGTGTTGAAGGCGGCTCAGCATGGTAGAGCCAGCTGCCTGCGGGAAGATCATTCCAACCCTGGGTTGTTTGGTTTCTGAACAATGGCGAGAAGCGCCCATCGTGTGAGCCTCCAGGCCTCTGAGCTGGCCTGGTGGTGAGGGTAGCCTCCCAAGTGTGGAAGGACTCTGGAGGACTGGCCTTCTGTCCACAGCCCTTCAGTGAGAGAGGTACGGTCTTAGAGCAGAGAATGAGAGGGCCCAGTGCAGGGCTCTGTGCTCAGTTACCATGGCGATAAGGTGCCCGCGAGTAGAGTGGCCTCACTCATCTGAACAGCAAACTGCTGACGCAAGAATCTGTGTGCCTCACTAAAGAATTCCTGTCTGCCTCTTTCTGCCCGGCGCTGTCACCCCTCAGGGTCTCCGTTTTTCTTAATGATCTGTATGTCAAGCTTGCTGAAGAGTTTTACAATGAGAGAGAGACTGAACTTTGAATTACATCACCAGTACCTCTTGGTGACCGGAACCATTCCTGAATGTTCCTTTGATGATCTGAGCGTTGGGGCGACAGCCTTGGACATTCAGGAAGGTTGATGCCCTTTTCTGCTGGTGACCTGTGCTTTTTCTTGGAAGCTGTGGAGGCCTTGATGAAGAGTCAGGAGAGCAGGGAGTTCCGTCCCAATCACCTGAGTACATTTTAAAAAGGGGCGGGGGAGGTTTAAAGGCCAGAACTTCCGATCAGATGCTTGTTAATATATTTCCAGGTAGTCTAGTCCTCTGCAAACATTTTTGAGTTGGCTTCTTTCAAAGTTCCCAGTGTCTTGGGGAGGGGCGTCTGCCATTCTATCCAGGGTCGTCTTTGATCGAAGATGGCAAACGTATTTGAAGGTGGAGTTGACAGGGAGGCCTTGGGGATTGATTCTCTGCGTCTTCCTTTTGTCTTCCATCCTGGGTATCGTGAGTCAGCCGACCTCACACTGCTTAGCAATGGCGGGGCTCTGGGGAAGCCAAGAAAGCACTTACAGAAGGTGGGGGGGGTGGGCTGTGAGGCTTGTTTTCTCTGAGTGGGGCCTGCTCTCCATGCTTATCAGGCAGCAGGCTTTTTTAAAGGGAAGAAAACCTTAAGGTTCAAGGAAGGGAGTGGCGTGCGTGCATACGTATATCTAGGTAGGTAGGTATGTACGTAGATCGGTAGGTAGATACGATCTGGTAAACCACTGGATTTTTTTTTTTTTCCATTTTCCTTCCCTGAAGCTCATTTCATATTCACAGTTCCTTGGTGTGATTAATCTTTTTGCCCCAAGGGAAGGAAGGAGACAAGAGACAATCTAAAAGGGGCAGAAAAAAAGGGGGGGGGGGACAGATTTCCCTGGATGCAACGTCAGTCATTACATTACAGAGAACAAGCACGCTCTGCTTTGTACGCGAGAGCATTTGGTTACTGTAGCTAATAAGCTTCCACCCCGGTCTCAGATGGATTATGGCAAACTGTCTAAGCGATAGGGTGGCCCAGCCTCCTCGGATTAGTTCTGAAACATCCAGCTTTTTTCCGAGTGTGTCAGTCAGGGACTGTGGGTTCCAATTCTTCTCCCCCTGTGGAGAATTCCATGGCTCCGTGTCACTGTTCTCAGTCAACAGGGCATCAGCTGCCTCTTGAGGGGACAGCTGCTGCAGTGTCTTGAACGTGGGTGGTCTCACGTGCCCCCTCGCTGACATGATGGCCACAGGCTGGGTGCTATACATGGCCTCACGCACCCAGGAGAGTCCCATGGCCACAGCCCCTGGTGAGGGACAGGCTGACATTCCTTTGTAATATGCATAATGACTCTCGTTTCGTGCCCGTGAGATGGCCAGGAAAATATGTCCAGGGTTTCAGCGCTTTGAACTCAGCAATAGGGTTCTCATGCAGGCATTTGCATAGCGTGTTAATAGGAAAAGGATGAGCTAGCTGCACCCCCCAGAAGATTCCACGGCACTGTCTGACACTCATCATTCGGCGCCTTAGACTAGACTTGATTTGATTTTTTTCCCCCTTCTCTTTTCTTTTCTTTTTTTTTAAGATCTTATTTATTTATTTGAGAGAGAGAAAGAGCATGAGCAGGGGGAGGGGCAGAGGGAGCAGCAGGCTGAGCAGGGAGCCCAGCGTAGGGCTCGATCCCAGGACCTGAGCCAAAGGCAGATGCTTAACCGACTGAACCACCCAGGCGTCCCCTTCTCTTCTCATCAGAATAAATCAGCAGTGGTAACTGCCAGTTTTCTCCAGAAAGAATTACTCTAACTCCTGAAAAGATGTGTATATAACTGACTTATACACAGCCGCAGACAACAGAGACACAAAAGAGAATTCTGGAAGGCCACGTGTGAACCAGAAAGT